AGTGGTGAATATCAGAAATATTCTTTTGAGAGCATACTTTCGTTGAAATAGCAACACTTCATCACTGAGCAAGTCACTCATGTCGATCATAGCGCCTTTTCTCTTCACTTCAGGATGCTTCTTAGTCATAAGCCAGCCCATATGCGAGAAAAAGAAACCTCTGCAAAATCACCTTATTCATTAATCGTCATTGCTTCTTCTCATTCGACATTTGACATTCTCACAGCGGAACATTCTTATAAATAGTGGCAAATTCTTAGGAAGTGGCATTTTAAACCGTTCCCTACATATTCTTAATATGTTATACAACCTTCATTACTCTACCATTAAGTTGCATGAAATCTCTATAATTAGTTATCCTTGCTGAACATTAATTATTCTGTCTTTTAATTTCTTTTTAATATGTGTTCCGATCCTCGAAGATTCATTTCATTCTTTTCGAGGATTTGCTCGAGTCATTCAGGTTTGTTTCCACTGTGATACTGTTCGATGATAGCCAAAGAAGTATTCGTCTGTAAAGGATCAAACCTCTCTGAACTATATGGATCCGCATTAGTATCGTTAAACTTGTGATGACATCGATGGTCTCTCGCCCAATCGATAATGTCATTCTGAAACCAAAAATTGATGTCTTGTGTGAACGATAAGTTCAGCGAATTATCTCGTTTACATCAAACTTGTTTATGCATTATCAAAGAAATGCTGGCAAATATTTATTGCGCGAGAATATAAAAACGCTGTCATGTAGGCAGTTATTCGATTCGCTAAATTGCGAAACAGGTTATCAGTTATCATCTAGACGTCTGTTTGAACGGTTTGCGATGCTCAAACTGCAACATCGAAATCGTTTTTCAGCACTATGTTTAGGAAGTTTTAATGTTGATTGCGGCGTTTTGCTATCATAATAATGATGCCTTGGTTTATAAAAAAATGATATGATAAATGAAATTTGACATCAGCATGTCACATTTCAGTTTGATATATTGACAATGGCTCAAACATTCAAATCTTCAGCAGCATTAACATGCGATAGATTATTTCATTTTGAAGAGTCGCTTTCGAAAGATTTATTGAAGGATATATTCAGTTGTTAAGGAAAGCGTTTTTCACCTGGAATGCAGCGCAATTGCCGAGCATTAAAATGATTCGCATGGGTAGATTTGCTTTGTAGCTTTTATGAGTCCATAAGCGATGCGCACCAGCCGTTACACCGACACCGCCAATCATCGAATAAAGCACGGCTGAAATCAGTTTAGGCGCTGATCTTGAGGTGCTCAATCGAGACAACAAGAAACAACGATACTGAATTGTATTCTCGAACTATATGGAATATTTCCTTCCATTGCAATTATGTGTCAAGTTCGTGGAATTATGTGATAAACCCATGAAATACTTAGTCAGCTGCTAGAAATACACGTGAATTTCCTGTGTGACAATAGAACTGGTTGCTATGGGTTCTGAGAATGGCGTCCATGATAGAAGTTGGCTCATATTGCTCAAACTTAGAATATTCAGTCAGAATATTCTTGCCAGTGCGATGAAGAATGATTATGAAATAGATTTTCGATTTTATGAGGCATTGATGTTTGGTATAACGTTAGAAGTCCTAAAGGTGGTAGTAGGGAGTGCGATCTGACAGATGTGAGTATGTTTGAAATAGACATTTTTCACAAAGAAGATAAAATTGCTTACTCCAACTTACTGTTAACCATTTCGCGTTAAAGATCAGTTGATAAAATCCAACGAGTGCAAGCGAATGCAAAACCGCAAACAGAGCTACATTGCGCCATACAATTTGAGTTTTGTACGTTTCCTGAAATAGGTTACCGCAGTTCCATCGGCTACACGATAATTATTACGAAGTTGTTCTTAAGGAGTTTTCTAAAGCCAAGAGCCTTCCAAACAGAATTATTTCGACCAAACTAGTCGAGTTCAACATTAAAGCACTGAGCGTAAAATATCACTACACATCGTGTGATAATGAAACTGTATTGAGTGATGCAACTTGAAACTATGATAGATCTTAAAACAAACCTTCTCTTTAGCAG